AATATAATCTTTTAATCTCTTAATGTTCTAAACTAGAAACTAGAAATCAAAAATCTTAATATAATATAATATAATATAATATAATCAAAATTCCAAATAAATCTACTTATATATCTTTAATACTCGAGTACGAGTACTAGTATTGAAATATAACTTTTAATATACTTATACAAAATCTAGATTTTGTATAAACAAACCCGAATAAAAGAACGAGAAATAATAGAAAATAGAAAATAATAAATAAGAATAATCAAAGTAGCTCTAAGTTACTACTAGTAGTAACTCTTTCACTCCAATTCGCTCCGATTTACTCCAATTTACTCTATCAAAAAAACCACCACTACACACCACCACCACCACCACCTTCACCATCATATTTATATTTATAATTTATTATATCGAGTACTCGAGTATAACCACGACTTATTTATACTCATACATTAACTAACTAACTACCTACCTACTAACTACCTACCTACTAACTATCTACCACCTAACTACCTACTAACTACCTATACAAATTAATCATACTCTACTCTACTATATAGTACTCTCAAAGTTTCATTCCACTCTGTTCCACTCTGCTTCGCTCCTCTGCTTCGTTTCGATTAGATAGATCATACTATACTAACCATACCATCCATACCATACTATATCATATATCTTTATCTTTCTTTATCTTTATCTTTCTTTCCCTATCTTTTGACTACCTAATTCTACCTACCCTACTCGAGCATACCGGTATTATATATTTTCCTATCAAATCATCTTTTGATTTGATTTGATTTGGCTAGATTTGATTTGAATTGATTAGATTACCTAGTAGATTAAAGCCCTTATTTTTATTCCCTCCCCCTCTCTTTCCCCCCTCTTACTTCAATTCGGCTTATACAACCAAAGTATTTTATGATATCCCTTTTAAAACCCTAAATCCAAAATCCATTTTATACCCCAACCCATCCCATCCCATCCCATCCCATCCCATCCCATCCCAATATCAATATCAATATCCGCACACCCCTCCCCTCCCCTCTCCTCCCCCAACACTCACTCCTCACTCCTCACTCCTCACTCCTCACTCCTTCCCCCTTACCTCCACCTTCCCTCCAATAACCCTCCCCTTAACATTATCATCCTTCCCCGCCCCCAACCTATCATTCCTAACCACCAACGACAGCACCACCACCGGCGCACTAACACAAAGCGCCACCAAAAGCAACTTATGCATCGTCTCCTGATACGCGCGATTAATCGCCATTCTCTCCTCACTTCCCATTGGATACGCCAGCGCATTATTAATACTATTATAGACGGCCTGACTATCGATGATGTTTGAATATTCCGCCAACTTCTTTGGGATTTCATGGCCCCAAATCACACCCGCAATAGCGCTTCCGACTGCTCCGCCCATTTCCACACAGGTGAGATAGACTGCTGTAGCGACCGCGACATTTTGATGGCTGGGGACTGAAGCTTGGACGGCGAGTTGGGCGGGGACGTTGAGCATGCCGCCGCCGATACCAACTGCGATTTGGGTGCCGATGATTTGGGCGATGGAGGAGTTTTCTTGACGGTAGTGGTACATGAGGCCGATTCCCATGAGGTAGATGAGGGCGCCGATGGTTATGTAGGGTTTGTAGAATTTGGTGTATTTGATGAGGAGGGAGACGATGACGGATGAGATGGTTGCTGTGAAGGAGAATACTTGGGTGACGTGACCTGCGGCGGGGATGGATAGGCCTTGGACTACGAGAAGATAGGAGTAGAAGTATGGTTGGACTGAGAGGAAAAAAGCCACTAGCAGAGAGAGGTCAATATTAGAGAGTGAGTGAGATATATGCTGGGATGAAACTTACTAAAGTAGAAAAACCCAATGCCACATCCTGCACAAAATGTGCGGGATTTGAGGAGACCAAGGGGAATGAGTGGATGGGGTGCAACTTTCTTGATGGATTCCCAAACTGGGAAGGTCAGGAGACAGACCACTCCGAGAACAATCATTGCGATGATATCTGGGCTAGACCATCCATCTGCGGCTTTCGATGCAATGGTAAGTGGGATCAAGATGAGGGCAAAAGCGGCACTTAACAAAATCATGCCACCGATATCCAAATCATTCCACAGAGTTTTCATGATTGAAATCGGGCCTAATCCTTTCAAGGGGGATGGGGCAGTAAGGCCAGCTCTCTTTGCTTTCCTGTTGTTGAGGAATAGAGACATTGCCAATGGTAAAAAGACGACTGGTAAAATAATACACCAAATACCATAACCCCATCTCCAAGTTGTAGTTTTTAAGATCTTGTCTCCGATCGGTGCTCCAATCCATACGGTGATCAGGAAAGGAATCTGCGGGAGACTAGACCATAAAGCACGATTGAGGAGATCAGTTGTATCGGCGATGAAAATCTGCTGGAGGATTTGGAGACCGGTAGAACCAGCTGCGTAGAAGATTTGCGCTGCGGCATAGGTTCGGACGTTGGTGGAGGTGGCCATTGTAACACCGCCGAGGACCGCGAGGAAGATTGAAACGGAGAAGGCTTCGAGTCGACCAAAAACATCGGCGCTTTTGGCCATGGGGGCTTTGATGACGGCTATTTGGAATCAATACGTATGTAGAGAAGATTGAATACGACGCGGGGATTGCATACCATTGACGACATTTTGGATCACCAATACTGTTGAAATTAAAGAGTGGTCATTGAATGAGCTTGTAGCAAAAACAGCCAGTGAAGCCACCACCTGTCCTTCAAGTGAAGTTGTGAAGGAGATGAGAAATATGCTAAGCTTGGTGTTAGCATATCATCATCTTCTGATATCGACTCAATCGATATACCCTATATATGCCATCACCAAGGACCAGGTCGTCCAGGTCATTGAGACGGCCTCGATATTTTGCACACCGGCTTGCGTGGCATTTCCAACATTGGCAGTTTCCAAGTCTTTTTCGGTCGAATCTGGGGAATTTGCTCCAGGCCGAACATGGGATTGAAGAACGGGATTCTGTGTCTTGGGTAAATTTGTGGAAGACTCCTTGGAGTCGGCGGTGGTGCTCTGCATTTTGAAAGTTGTTTGCGATCGTTGTTTGAAGTTACGATTGTGCTGCCAATGAAAGAAAATGAAATAAAAATTGTCAAAAAATGTTCTCAGAGGTAATGAACCATAGACTTAAAGATCACCATCTAGTGTTAACTACACTCATTTGGACTTCAAGTTTATCGTTTCCAATTGCCGTTAGACTTTTGGGGTACATGGTTAGTGGCAGCGCCATTGCAGATCTAGTCCGGCACTACTGGCTAGAGTCTCTTTTCAAGCCTTTTCAAGGATAGAATAGGTATAATTTGGCCATAGTCATTTGTTGACTCGAGAAATCCCAGTCACAATACTCTAGTAAAGGTAGAGTTTGACCTAAGTGCACTGAGAGTTACCGTAGTTGCGTTCAGTTAAACGATTCCAAATCCTTGGTATTTCATATTTACTAGCAAATGTGTATTCGATTTGGCTGAACGGAAGAATATAGTTATAACAACAGATTACGTTGAAGTGTGCTGTCGACTCCGGAGAGCTGCCCCAGACTGCGTTCACTAACAAGCCCTCAAATCCTCGACATTCAGAGCAGACACCATCACCATCACCATCAGGGCGCTTTAATCCCTTCTGTTGGTCTGAAAATGAATAGATGGTTTAACTTACCAAAATCGGAATCATCAGAAAGAAGTTCAGCTCTTACTTCCACAAGTTGCCCACCATATTTCATAAAAAAGTTTCCTTGGCTAAGAGGTAATTTAGAACGAAGTGTATGGTTCGGATACCATTGTGCCTATAGTTTATTATCAATTAATTTCAGTTCTCTACTAGAGTTCTATACTATAGTTCTTCACAGAAAGAAATGTATGAAATCGTCAAGTGTAGAAAAGTCAAGAGAAATAGAACAAACCTGATATCCTAAAGCAATCATGATTCTATAATCATCTCCTTCATTGGGCATACCGGCATGCCATGTCCTCAAGTAACTCAACATAACATCTCCCTTCTCACAGACAGGTTGAGTTGGTGACCTCACCCTTCTTCGTTCATCTATAACATTATTCTTAACATCGCAGGTAGGATCCCCAACCACAGGTTTAGCATTGGAGAGCTTAGATTCTGAGGTAGCTGGAATCTGATCCGCTCCTGATGTGTGAGCATGTGACCCTAGCCAGAATTCCATAAAGCTAGTAGAGAGAGACATTGAATGGACACAAAGGTATATTTGCTATAACGTAAAATGGACATTGGGGGTGATTGAAAATTCTATCTTTGTGAACTGATTGCCGTAGACCATGAGTCTTAGGTAAAGCATTATTACCCTTCACAAAATTCCAGATTGGTTTATCACCAAGATAACTGAGGGAAGATGATTGTGAGTCTTTGTACAGTAAATAGAACCTAATGTGTAAAACCTTACGCATTCATGATTTGTATAAGGAATCATTTGAAGAATACATCGTTGTGAAGATATTCTTCATATACCAATGGCGGTGCTTGGAGTATGTTGGCTAGAAATATATTGTGTCAGAGTTTTACTTACAGGGAGGGACATTGGAGGTATAAAAAAAAATACAATTAACACTCTGATTGAATGGTTTTTGCTTCGTTTATCATTAATTCATCGATCAATATGATTGACATCGACAATAATGGATTTGAGGACAACGAAATCATCTTGATGCAATGCTATGCTTCTAGAGCGGCTTGCTTGTAACTAAGTTTAAAGTTTCGTAAAGTCTTATTTTTAGTTCATCGATCGTAGCTTCGATGATGCGTGCGTGGGGAATTCTATATATTCTCCATTCGTAGTAGTCATCTTTATTATTCGAGTAGTCTTAGTCTTAGATAAAGTGCCGATCTCGAAATGGTTGTAGGTAGGTAGGTTCTTGTTCGTTATCTGTGTCTGTTTATCTATGTCGAGAAGTCGAGAAGGGTTTATATTTTTGCTCAATTGGTGGCTGAAGTCCTATCGCTATCTTATATATATGTATGTACTCGTACTGAACAGAAGCTTCTCTTCTAATATCCTACTCAAACGCGACAAATCATACTTGTACCTCGGTACTCATACCGCGTTCGTGTCATTTGATAACTGTACAGTCAAGATTCGGCCATGTCCGACCTATCAAACTGATAAGCCATCCTAGAGACAGATCATTGAGGAGATTTTCCTATCAAGGCAATTGATCTTGTGTTTAAACCGGATTATACCTCCATACAAGCCGATAATCCGGCATCATCTAACTGATTTTTGATAACTTGATAACAAAAGTTCTAAGTGGAGTTCATATTGGTACATGAAAAATGGTACTAAAATAATTGGTGCGCACCAAAGTGGAATTCTCTTCTCTTCAGTCTTCACCATCACATATTGGAAAGCTCTTCTTCTTCTTCCCTTTCTCCCCTTTTGCAAAAAGAATACAACAATTTGAGCATGATATCTTCTATCACTGTTTGTTTGATGTGAAGATATTCTAATTAACTTTGCGTTGTTGTCACTTGTTGATATCCGTTCTATATCTATCAATTGGAAAATTATCCGAGATGTCCCCCGCCATGCACGTTGCGACCCTTAAAGCTCAATCTGCCGAGAAGGTTGAAGCTGTTAAGAATGCCTTCAAAAGTCGACAAGCTTTCGTGGACTTTGTAAGCGTTCAAGATACTGCACTCGATCAACATGGCCATCCGGGCTCGAAGAAGACTTGGTCCAACGAAGATCTGTAAGTCCAGTCCAACCTTATTCAGGATTGGCACACGACGAAAGATTCAGCTACTAAACTTGTTCTTGTAGTGATCCAACACCTCCTGAGAAACGGACATGGCGTTGGTGGAATTTCGTTACCTTCTACCTGGGACTCTCCTTTGGTAATTGGACTTTGGGCTCGACTATGGTAGGAATTGGTCTCAATTGGTGGCAGGCTATCATTGTCATCTTTGTGTCTCAAGTGGTCAGTTCGATCGCCATGTACTTCAACAGTCGATGCGCTTCAGTGTACCATATTGGATATCCTGTAGTAGCCAGGAGTGTTTTCGGAATGTATGGATCATACTACTTTGTTGGAGCTCGAGCTGGCTTGGCCATTATCTGGTATGGTGTACAACGTAAGTGGTTCTATTTTACGCCTCCTTTCGCGACGGAACAATCTCTTTCTGCTAGCAAAGATCGGACTTCTAAAGCCTCATCCTATCTTGAATATGCAATCCTCTGCTGTCTTTAAATTTTCTGCTAATATGCCAACAACAACAGTGTTCTCCGGTGCGAGCTTCATGAGTAACATCTTGCGATGCATTTTCGGACACAACTTCACTGATATCCCGAATCGTATTCCTGAATCGATTGGTATCTCATCTGCCAATATGCTCGCCTTCTTTCTCTTTTGGCTAGTCCATTTTCCATTCTGCGCCTTCCGACCATATCAACTGCGAGCTTTCTTCTGGTTCAAATCAATCGTTGTTCTACCAGCCGTATTTGGACTCTTTATTTTCTGCATGGCCAATACGAAGGGAAAAGTCGGGTCGGTATACCAGAGCACACTCGGTGAAGGGGCTGCCTATGGATGGTTCATTATGTACGGCATCAACAGTGGTATGGGTAATACTGCAACTTGTAAGTCTTGAGTCTCATTACTTTCCCGGTCCTAGATCATCTGTGGTGCCAATCGTTCTTCTTCCAAAGGAGATTTCGAGATTCCACACAAAATGCGCCGCGAAAAATTGCTAATTCAATCGATTTCCCAGTGATCACAAATCAGCCAGATATCGCGAGATGGAGTGCGACGAAATCGGGTGCACAATGGTCACAACTTCTCACCCAACCCCTGTCCGTGACGCTATCTGCCACATTTGGAATTTTAGCTACAGCTGCGATTAACAACAATTGGGGTTTGGAGATTTGGAATCCTTGGGATTTGCTGAGCGCCATTCTGGATAGGTACTGGTCGGGTAGCACACGCTTTGCTGTGTTCTTGTTGGCATTCTGCTGGATGGTCTCCATTCTTGGCACAAACATCGCGGCAAACATGATTCCATTCGGTGCGGATAGTACCATGTTATTTCCTCGGTTCCTCACAATTCCCCGTGGGCAATATGTCGTGGAGTTTTTGGCTTTCGCCATCTGTCCATGGAAGATTCTTGCGTCTGCATCGGTGTTCACCACTTTCCTTTCGGGTTATGGAATATTCATGGCTAGCGTCGTTGCAATAATGATCTGCGATTGTAAGTTTCTCCATTTACTTCACCAACGAATTCTTTAGCTTTGAGGGTTGTTGGAAGTGTGTCGTTTGTATCTCCCAGGACTTAATGCTAACCTTTCCAAGATTATGCACTCACCAAGGGCAATGTGTTCATTGGTCACCTTTACAACGGCTCGAAGACAAACAAACATTACCATTATTATCATGGCTGGAATGTACAGGCGATTATTGCATACCTTTGTGGCGTCGCGCTCCCTTTTCCAGGATTTGTTGGAACGCTAGGTGCAACCGTATCGACCGGTGCGACGAATCTCGGGCGCCTCGGATGGATATTATCATTCACAGTCAGTTTCGTCGTATACTTCACACTCTGCAAGATATGGCCAACCAATAATCAAAGGATCATCAAGGAGATGGGTCTCGGATGGGAATCACAGTATGGTGATGTGGTAGTTGCGGGAGATGGAACACATGTTTTAGAGCAGGGAGGCACGGTTCAAGCAGTCAGTGATGATGAATCTGCCAATAGATCGACGGTAGTATATGGAGGAGAGAAGGAGGATCAAGACCAAGTAAATCTACGATAAGGATCAGTGGTCGTATTGAAAAAGAATAAGAATAAGAATAATAAATCAATTACCTTCAAAATAATAAATGCTAGTCCAAGATAATCTTGAGATATAGGCCTTTGGCTAGTTACTATCTATAGATAGATACTCAAATCTATATAAGTAAACTAAATAGAATGAATATATGAGAATCTATAGATACTCATCTACAAGTAATTCAGAGAATAAATCAATCAGATTCGAGTTTATAACTTATATCAAAACTAAAACTAGAACTTATAAACGCTCTACTATTGGAGTATTATAATATAATTGAATCTATAAAATCTAATCTAAATATTAAAAAAAAAAGAATATTAATAAATATTATAGATTCTGTTTTTTAACTTGAATAATAGTTTTAATTAGGATTTATTAATTTGAAATAAAGTGAAATATTAGTTTATATTATAATTAGATATTAAACTTATTTAAAATATTATTGATATATATCATAGAGTTTTTATATTATTTGTTTATTTCCTATCAATTACTTAGTATTTGAGAATCTATTATATACGAAATCAAGAGACTTTGAGTTATAATTTAGAGCTCTTTAGGGCTAGATTGACTAAATCATAGTTGAGTCCGCTCTCACTAGTTTTTTTTTAGCGAAAACGCAAACAAAGCTATCATCGGATCATCTGAATTTATCCTTTTATTGTTTTATAAGAGTGGCAAGTGTGGAGATCTGAAATATAATTAATTATTCTATATAAAATTAGTTAGTAGTTAGCAATTAACAGTTAGCAGTTAGCGCTGAGCAGCAAACCCATTGGAATTTTGTCCACGAGTTTTCTTTCCAATCATTTTTCTCATAAGCCATCTGTCACAATGGATTCACCATGGAGACCAGAATTATACAAGCCATCCTCAGCTTGTGAAATTACTCCGCATCAAACGCTAGACGCCGAAGTTCGTCCTGAAAAAAATCCTTTTGCCTGGTTTCCCCAGTAGGGTAGCTCGAACGGTTTACTAATTATTTCCTTCTTTTCTTAGCTCTTGGAGTCCGAAATCAAAGAATTGTATCAATTCACACAAGATATTGCGAAAACCCCATATGATGCGGAAAATTGGCTTAACCGGGGGAATAGTCTCCGTCGATTAGGGTATCCAGAACTTGCTCTTGGCGATGTTCATAAAGCACGGCTTTTGGTCGAAGCCGCCTTGAAGAATGATTCTTCTTTGGGTAATGATGCGTATGAAGCATACAGGCAAAAGATTTATCAACTTCATCAAACCCATCCGGCGTGGATGCCTAGGAAGGCACAGGTGGCCACACCAGAATCTCTCGATGCCTTAGTCACAGTTCTGTTGAAAAGACTTGAGCTTCAGATCTGGTCGGAATTGATGGAAGGATTGATGGCTTCCAATTGCTGTGTAGACTATCTTGCGGTAAGTAAAGATGCCGTGGCCAAATTCCCCGATGACCAGGTTTTTCCCTCGGAAGTAACGAATGCGGAATCATGGTTTGAGCAACGACAAAATATCCTCCAAGGATACGTCGACGATGAAGAAATGTCGACAGAAGCCATGGCAACTACCCTCTATAATGGCGGTGTCTATCCAACCGCATATCCATGGATGACCGAAGATCTTGTCACAAGATCTGATCAATTAATAGAAAAGTTGGCTGCCGAATTTGCTGCCGCGTCATCCAATTGTGTAGTTTCAAAGAGCACAATTAGACTGGCTTCATCGTCTGAAGACATATCGGAGGTGGATGTGCTTGGCGTTGTGGCCACAAGAGATATTTTGGCGCAAGAAACCGTCGTTGTTGATCCAACCCTCGCTGCTGCAGTTGACAGTGTCGACCGGTGCCCAGCTTGTTGTGGACCACTCTTGGAAAAAATCGAAAACCCATGTTGCAAAATTTCGTACTGTAGCTCTTCATGCTGTCAGCTTGCATTGGATGGATATCACTCGGTCGTTTGTGGTAAGGATCTCGATTTTCTGTATGAATCTAGATCAGAATCTTCGCCAAACGCCATAGAATCGTCTATGGGATCCAGCTTATGCCTTCGTGTCCTCGCTCTTTCTATTAAGGAAGATACCGTTCATCCCCTTAATACTTCGCTTGTTTCACGCCTCACGCCCGCATACAATCCAAACGACCCTCAACTCATCCGCTTCAACTTCAAAGATCACATTGTAACACCCATCCGTATCCTTTTCGAACTTGGGATCGACGTCTTCACCAATAGCATGTACGATACATGGGTTCTACACACGATCAATAGTCGTCTGCAAAACAACAAACACGGGCAAACTTTTGATGATATTCGAGGAACTGCCATAAGTCCTCTGTACTCGATGTTTAATCATAGTTGCGATCCCAATGTTGATTGGAGACACGATGACGAGAATAGTACAGTCACCCTATTCGCCGAACGGGACATCAAGAAAGGAGAGGAAATGTTCATCTCATATATTGGGAAAGGCAAGGGCCTTGTAGAAAGGCAAAGGAAACTCATGCCTTGGTTCGGCACAAAGTGTGCATGTCACAAGTGTGAGGAGGAGAAATTAGAAGCCATGGTGGCAGATATAACTGTCTGAGTAAAGAAAGACAATTGATGAGAAAGCCATCACATATATTCGTCCGAAAATTGATTCATTGATATCAAGGACATTTTCAACATTGGCCCCTCAATCTACAGTATAAATCATCTCAGAAATTGACCTATCCATCATTGTCCAAGCTACAGTACTTGCAGATTCTGCTCCTCAACACTCAACAAAATCGCATTGATTTCTATCAAAGTGTCTATGTAAAGGGCTGTGTAATACAGTACCTCATTTACTTGGCCTTGGCCTGCTGATATCCGTACGTACTGTAACCATTATTCATACTCATGCAGTGACATGTACATAAGCAAAGCCAAGAAAGAACCCAAATCATATCATATGAGACCGAACCCACGGTTCTCCACAAACAATGGAAAACCCGTTTTATTTTTTCTTCCTTTTTTCCTTTTCACTAGCATGCATGCATAATCCATCACTTTTCGTCAGTGACCCAAAAATTTAAAAAATTCGAAAATTCGAAAATTCGTCTCCTCCAATGATATGTTAGAATAGCGGGCCTGAAGCTTCGATCTCCACGAACACGTCAGATTTACGTCAGATTTACTTGCTGTGATCATTATTATTACCGGTGTTGTGCTGCGGCTTTGGATTCATGGATGGATGTACGGTACTGATGAGTACTCAGTACAGTAATGTAAGGACTAAGGTAATAGGCTTATTATATTACTAATGTAGTATGTACCGGTACTTGTACCTGCTGCTGGTGTGAAGACTTCGTTGGGCGGCAGTTGTATTACAGTTCATCGACTGGGCTTATGATTGCATGTATATATATATATATATATCCTCTCTCTCATATCTCGCCGCAACGGAATGTATTTTTGATTCTCGAGGATAGATATGTCAAATACACAATAGGTAGACCCCAACTAGCAATTGCAAGCCCACACACCTCACCTAGCAAGCATCACCTCACCTCATCACACAATGACCAGCACCACGCACCTCTTCATCATCCTCTGCCTCTCCCTCATCCTCTACACCATCTACGGCGCCATCTACCGTCTCTATCTAAGTCCTATTTCGAAATTTCCAGGCCCCAAACTCGCTGCTTTAACTCTGTGGTACGAGTTTTATTTCAACGTCGTTTGTGACGGACAATGGATTTGGGAAATTAAACGGTTGCATGAGGTTTATGGTATGTATATTTTTCTTTTGGGGGGTGGGTGAGAGAAGGGGAAGGGATTGGGGATTAGAGGGGGGGGGGGATTTTCATATATATAGTGTATAGGGAATAGGGAATAGTAACTAACAGTGAAATTATCATCAGGCCCAATTGTGCGTATTAATCCGTATGAATTACATATAGATGATTTGGAATACTATGATGAGTTGTATGCGGGTAGTACGAGGAAACGGGAAAAGTGAGTTGGATGGATTTAGAGGTCCTCAAGTTGAGTGATATGAAGTCTTCAAGTTGAAGATAATTTTCTGAGTGCATCTCCAATTCCAATTTAGATAGTTGGGACAGTCCCAATTGAGATAGTTGGGACTTCTCTCTCTCGAGCATCTCCAATTTACATGGTTGGGATTCCTCTCTGTCTTTTGTATATGTATGTTCATGTTCTAAGAGCGTGGAGTACTAGTATACCATAATACAATGGCTACATCGATTCGAGTGTGAAACTCCGCACTCGAATTTCTCACACTCTACTCTAGATATTTCTAGATAATTGCTAGGCTACCAAGCACAGTATCTCCATCCATACTGACCACATACAAACACAGATACCCCTGGTTCATCAGCAGCAGCGGCTCCCCGGGAAGTGCCTTTGAAACCATCGGACACGATTTACACCGCCTGCGTCGAAACGCCGTCAACCCCTTTTTCTCCAAGCGATCCATTACCTGCATGGAACCAGTCATCAAATCGAAAATATCCCTCTTATCCAACATATTCCAGCGACATTCCATCGACTGCACGCCTGTGAATCTGCGCGTTGTGTTTTCCTCGCTCACTTTGGATATTATATCTGATTATTGCTATGGAGAAGCTTTTGGGGCGTTGACTGATGATAATTTGGCTGAGGTGTGGAGTACGACGCTTTCGCAAATTATGTCGATTACGACTTTGATTATGCATTTCCCGGTGCTTTTTAGGATTATGAAATGGTTGCCTGATAGTTTGGCTGGACCGGTATTGAGACATCATAGAGTAAGTCTTAACACATTCTATTCCCTTTCTCTTTGTTATCCAATCATACAATTTCATTATCCATCCAAACATGGACCCCCCCTTCCTCTCCCTCAACCAACCAACCAACCAACCAACCAACAAACAAACCTCCCCCCCAGAACTCCCGAACCCAAGTCCAGCGCATCCTCGACCACTCCGATACAAAAGTACCCCAAACCACCATATTCCACGCCCTCCGCGACAGCGCGGTCCTCCCGCCCCACGAAAAAACCCTAGATCGACTAGCTGACGATGGAAACATTCTTGTCGGTGCCGGAGGTGAGACGACTGCTCAAGCACTCGCTGTACTGTTTTATCATCTCCTTGATAATCCGGTTATGTTGGCGAGGGTTAGAGATGAGGTACTTAGTTTGGGGTTGGGGTTGGGGGTCGATGATGAGATTACTTGGAAACGATTGGAGGGATTGCCGTTTTTGGTGCGTTTATTCTGTTTACCCTGTTTACCCTACATATAATTTGTGATTTGTGATTTGTGATTTATGTGAGAGAGAGGAGATGGCTAATTGGTGTTTTGGTGTGTGTGTAGTCGGCGAGTATTACTGAGGCATTGCGGTTATCGAGTGTGGCAACTACACGACTTCCAAGGATTGCTCCGGATGAAGATTTGAAATTTCGGGAGTGGATTATTCCGGCTGGTGTACGTATCTGTTTCTTTCTTTGTACCCCCTATCAAGTCCCCTCACACCCCCTTTACCGCCCCTCTTTGATCACCTTCTCCGTTTTCTCCATTCTCCATCTTCACTCTTCACCCATCCCTACCTCCCACCTCCCAACTCCCTACCCCCCACTAATTTCCAAACCCCCCCCTCCATCCCCTTCTAACTCCCACCCCCATCTAGACCCCAACCGGCATGACCTACCACTTCATCCACTACTCACCCATCATATTCCCCTCACCCCAAACCTTCGACCCCACGCGCTGGCTCGCCTCCTCCTCCCCCTCATCAACAACAACAACAACAACATCAACATCAACATCAACATCAACATCAAAAGTCCGCCTTGAGAAATATTTCATGCCTTTCTGCAAGGGCACTCGAATATGTCTTGGGATTAAGTACGTACATTCTTATCCCTTCCTTTTCTTTTTTCCCTTCCCCCTGGTCCTCCTCCTCCTCCTCCTCCTCCTCCTCCTCCTCCCAAACCACCACATCCCACCACCAACTAACAACCCAAATAGTCTAGCCTACGCCGAATTATATCTCACCACCGCCCACATACTAACACGATTTGATTTTTCCCTCTACGAAACAACAAAAAAAGATGTGGAAATCAAGCGTGATCATTTTGTTGCGGCGCCAGCGGCGGGTAGTATGGGGATTAGGGTGATTGTTACTGGGGATCGGGGAGAGTGAGAAAGAGAGTACCGGTAGTCACTAGAGTAGGGAAATTAGGAAATAGGATGTGGGAAAGTTGGGAAGTTGGGAAGTAGGTGGTGGAAAATGTACAGATATTGCAAAATTCAAATGTCTTGGGTATTATATTATGTAAAGTGATCGAAGCTAGCTTGCTCCACCAGCTTTTCCGCTTGTGATTTCGGGGTGGAGGGTCTTAATTCCATAGACTAATTTATCGTGTGTTAGTTATGAGTCGTGAGTTATCGGGTAATATATGATATAGTCGAGTATGAAATAATGAATGACTTACTAGGGAATTTCGTCTCGTCTGTTGGATGAGTAATGATCTCATCATGAACCGTAATAAATAGACCTGATACCTGTTCTATCGGTATCGGCGATCCATCTCTTTTCTCCACCGTCCAGCTCAGATTTGCTTTCAGATAATTCACCATATCGTCCACATTAGTTGTATCTACCGTCTTGATAGCGTGAGATAGGGTAAACTCATTGTGATACGTCAGACCTAGCGCATGACCTCCGTCTGCAACAGGGGGTGGCAATACATGAAAGGAAGCGACTGGACTGCTGCCTTCAATGTATAATCTGACTGTGAATCTCTCGCCTAGCGCTGTGGATAAAGCTTGGATAGCCACTGACCATTCTCTCTTCTCGTCTCTCGTTTCTTTCGAACCTGTGAATATTCCCCTGGGATTATATAACGCATTGACCGTCGCGGTAACATTGGCTGAGAGCTCCGTTGCATTTGTGATAAGCGCATCTGGAACTGACGCATACGAGTATCCAAATGTACTCGTGTAGCGAGCAGCATCTGACGTCCAAGGTGTCTCTCCATCAGCTTGATAAAATGGGGTCAATGGCGACGTCGAAGTATCAGTCGCACCAGGGGCTATTGTAAAGGTTCCGATCTGGTCGGATTCCGGAAGCATCCAGGCATCCGGGTGGACTGCTTGCCACATGGCAAAAAGACGGTCCACGTTTGCGTGGTGAAGCCAGAACACGGGATCAAAGCCTGCGTAGCTCAATTGACTCATGTGACCGTGGGAACCTCCAACAGCATCATGTACAGCACCATGAGGATTTTCTAGGGAAGGGCCCGGAGAGACTTGCGTCGCCATGTTATTATATACCGTAGATTTTGAGAACACCGAAAAGATCATATTCATCAGACCTTCGGAACCTAAGTTGTCATTGGCGTTTTCCGGCTGAGATGTTCCCCTGATAGCTGCATTGGGAAATCTCAAGGTTGTAGGATCTTGAGCCAAGTCTTCATCCGCTCTGCTGGTGCCCGTAGTCGGAAACCAAGTTTCTTTCAATGGAAATTGCTGGAACTTATAGAGTAGGAGAGGGTTGGCAACATTTTGAATACCAGAAGTTGTGTTGATTTGAACAGTGGCATCACTGATAACAGGGGGAAGGATGGGAGCAGCGGCCCAATCCCAGTATGGGATACGGAAGTTTGCGGCAGCAGCAGTGTAAGCGTCATCATTGTATGTAGCGGCAATGGTCTGAACGTGAATGGCGAGAGTGTGCTCGTATAGGGCAAGATATGGACGATGCCAAGTAGGGAACAACACACCGTCGTGGGTACAATAACCGATTTGTGGAGCTGCTGGATTCCAGCTCACATTGCCCCATGAATAGTAGGGACGACCGTGGATACCGGCAATTTGAAACCAAGACAACTGATCATCTTCTGGGACTCGTTGAAAAGCAGTGAGTGCTTGGATATAGATGGACCTGGAGAGATTTAGTCGCTAGAATCAAGAGCAGCGTTTGTGATTGCATATAACCACGATTTGGACTCGAATTCAGTGAGCACTTGCTCCATTTTGACTTGATAGTCTAGCTTTTCACTGTTGAAGTTGTCTAAATGTATGAAAATCAAACATACCAAGTTGGGACATCATTTTGAAGATCCAAAATGTCTCTTCGCGCAGGCCTGGCTCCCGTCTGTGTATCAACACCAGTATGAACGCCACTAATAGGATAATAAGAGGCTTCTATGGTATCAACGCAAGCAAGAAGGGAAATGGCCAGGCCAAGTGGCGTAGTTGATTTGCCAAAAAGCATTTTGAGTGGTATGGGGTATTCAAGTAAGGGATCTTGAATGTATCGTATACAAGAAACTATTGGAGATCGTGGGTAGTAGATCAAGTATATCTGAGCGACAAAAGTTTCCCTTTATAGAAGATCCGTTGATGATTCATTTCGAAATCCAGTGTCAGATACTCAAAGTAGCATGACATACGATTCGACAGGTTCTAGACGTAATTGAGGATACCATTAGGCAATGTCCGACAGAAATCATCGTGAAGATCTGTCCAGCTCATGTCCGTTATTCGATGTTTCTTATGTCCTAATCCAGATATATTCCATGTAGTGAGAAAAGGCTCACGGCCCCTGAAATCTTGCATCCCCCAAAGAACAAACGGTGCAGCAACACGAGGATTGGCGTATAATGCATGCATACTGCGAGGTTATGGAGATCAGGCACCGCGCTGATTTGCCAGCCCTTGTGTGTTCAGATATTGAATTTTTCAATCGCCAAATCGTCTAATAACATGTTGACCGATTGACAGCTAGTCTAACCTTTGCTATTTTGGTCTTTGACGAGCAACTGCGCCATACCGGTAGTACTGCGCCATAGTACCTATACATTGATGCCGATCAATAATACGAATCGGTATATAACCTTATGTATCACTAGAATTAGCTTAGCCTGTGGATCTTCACTGCGTTTCATTCTGTGCCTTGAAGGTCCCTGCTCGTTGACTGACCGGTAGGTAGTATAATTTGATTGATTGAAAATACCACAAAATCATTCGTTGAAACTCGCTTTTAGCAATACTTGAGTGTGATTTGATTTGAATATAGAAGTAGCAGTCTTTATTGACAAAAATTATATGTTCGTACCTTTACAATATTACAATATTGGATCATCAACTTGATTCTCCGAGGTAGGCTTGAATATGCTCAGGGCTCAACAAATGAAAAGCTTGATTCGCCAAGGAAAATACTCTTGAATCATTACTGAGAAAACTTAGTTACTCTGAATAAACTTAATAGAATCTGTAATATTTTTATCCTTTTTTTCAATCTATCTTTAAATTAATTAATTAAGGTTTGTAATAATATATAATCCGCTTCTAAATCAGCTAATACGAGTAAAAGTTTATAATTAAAGTTTATTTATTTAGAACTAAGTTTATTCAGAGTAACTGAGTTTTGATAGTATACTAGTTTACCGGTATTGAATTTAATGATTTGGAATGTTGAAGTACAAATTGATTTATATGTACTCGGGTTTTCTCCCAGGTTTAAATATCCTGCAATTTACTTTCTAGGGTTCTAGATGTACCGGGTATGTCTGTGAGCTCCTCGAGCTCCACACTCTTTTCCATGATCCTCATGCCAAGCATCTAAATGCAATGGAAGAATACATGTACGACCCTTTCCACATACAAATGTTCTCAAACGGCCACCAATTTCTATCACCTAGATCAATCGTCACAACGGCCACCATATATGGAGTTTGTGAGTCCAGACCCCGGATTTATCATGGATTGAATTGTTCTCCAGTAAGCCAACGTGCCAAAGAATCGATGATTAGTAGTACATCGTTTGCATCACGACGATGATGTATTCTGATATCCGGTGCGGCACCATCTCCATATTCTCTCGGGTATTCAATGAACCCTCTTATTGTTCATGTAATATTCGAATTTGTATCGGAAGCACAGCTCAAGGAAGCGATAGATTTTCGATCGTGTGAGTAACTTCAGGTATTAGATGCGCAATTTGATTTGGATCACGCATAGCTATAGTAAGATCGTCCGGGAGTTTGCCAGAATATAGAAGATTCTACTGAAATTTAGTGGAATCATCGAATACAATGATGGCTTGACTGACCTGTTTGACCGTGTCGAATGCATCCTCCTTCTCGGTATAGTCCCGGATTACCTTACTTGTATTAAAGTCGACATAGATTCTAGTATCTCTAATCCTGACGAGAACATTATCGAGTCTCATGAACAACCTGCATAAGAGAAGCATTCGATCAGGCATGACTCGTAATTTACAAGAAAACATGGATATTCCGTTGTCATCTAGCTCGCTCTCGTATAGGACAACTTCTTCGAAGAATAGGATCGGATCTTGACGTTTGAGGAGAGCAATAGGTATTGGATCGGAGTTATCCAGCGCAAACGATTTCCCATTAGCTATAGTGCCTTTATAATCTGTCGTATATGACCAGTCGAACGGTTTGACAACTTCTTTAATGCCTTCGTGGGTTTTCTCTCTGCAATACATTAGCACTGACTTGTCGAGAACAAATGACTTCGATTATCTACCTGCTGCTTGACCACTCTTTTGAATAAGCTACTTTCAACATATTCTTGTCCGTCTTGTCCACTCGATCCAGGGCATCGTATGCATTGAATTCCATGCGCCATCCACTCTCTAGGTGCTCGATTGCAACCATATTATCACCAAAGATCATCTCTGGAACCGGTATGCCAAGCTTCTCCGACATCTCATCTATTGGGCCCGATTTCGAGATTGGAAGTTTACGTGCACTGATCTTAAAGCCTTTCTGAGTATGCGATACAGTAGCCATCTCTACCGCACTGGGCGTTGGGTATGTCTCATTGATAGGACCGTTGAATGCCATGATTATTGAACGATTGTAATGTAATGAATGAATTATTATGTACTAGGTATGCCTGTAGGTAGATACTTTGCTTTGGTGGGGAAGCTTGCAAAGCTCAATGCTCCCGATCCGATGGGTTCTTCAAATAAATTCGCTTGTTGCTGTGTCAACAGGAATTGAGCTTAGCGAGCGTCACTTGTCACCTTTCTGAATAACAAACTCTCGTCTCACCCCTTTGACTTTCACTCATTGTATGTACCTACTTCTACTGAAACAACAGTAAAATACATATTTTCCTACTCTCACCATCAATTTTATTGATCTAACAGTCAAACACCATCGATAAATCCTTATTTTTCCAACAATCGATCAAAGCCCTCACTCTTCATTATAAATAATTCGATATGGCTTCTCATGCCCTAGAATCGCGATTTGAGCGGATGTCGGTGAATGATGAGAATGATCCAGGAGAAGGAAAGAAATACAAAACCAAGGTAGATATGATCAAAGTATTAAATGTGCCGTGATTAATTGGGTTGTAATAATAGATCGCAGCCACTACACCTTCAAGTACTCAATTATCACAAAATGCCAATCGAGCAAATCTTCTCAAGATCGCCTTACAAAATAAGAACACAACAAACACAATCACGACCGTCACAGCGTCATCGCATGAGGCTTCCTCTCCGTCAAGAAAGCCAACTACATCCTCGCGAGAATCAGAACAAGTTATTAAGGTTGAGCGCAAATCGAATCCTATGTATCAAGAACCAGCTCCAGCAAAACAATTTCACCTCGGGATGTTTGAAATTGGTCGACCTCTGGGCAAGGGGAAATTTGGCCGTGTGTATCTGGCAAGAGAACGAGGGACAGGATTCGTTTGTGCCTTGAAAGTTCTACACAAAAATGAAATACAAAAGGGCAAGGTAGAAAAGCAGGTCCGACGAGAAATCGAAATTCAAAGCAATTTACGACACCCAAATATCCTCCAACTATATGGCCACTTCCACGACAGTAAACGAGTCTTCCTGATCTTGGAATTCGCTGGCAAGGGAGAACTCTACAAGCATCTTCGTAAGGAGACGAAGTTTCCGGAATGGAAAGCAGCTCAATACATTGCGCAAATGGCCGCCGCACTGAAATATCTTCACAACAAGCACGTCATGCATCGAGACATAAAACCAGAAAATATTCTTGTTGGCATCCATGGCGAGCTCAAGATTGCAGACTTTGGTTGGAGTGTCCATGCACCAAACAGCAGAAGGGCTACAATGTGTGGAACTTTGGATTATCTTCCACCAGAGATGTTGCAAGGGAATAGCAACTACTACAATGAAAAGGTTGATTTATGGAGTCTGGGAGTTCTGATGTATGAGTTTCTGGTTGGCGAAGCTCCTTTTGAAGACACCCCAGTCATGACACAGAGGAGGATAACAAGATGCGAAATGACAATACCAAGCTTTGTATCCACTGAGGCAAAGGATCTCATTAAAAGGGTATGTTCACTTTCATCTTCGCATGTTTCACACACTAACTTTGAGAAAATAGCTGCTTGTACTTGACCCCGACAAACGAATTCCTCTCGAACAGGTTCAGACGCACCCCTGGGTTATTAAGCATTGTGTGAAGGGTGAGCGAGCTAGTATGCGGGACTCAAAATCAACCAGTAGCAAGTCTTCGCTGGACCCTGAAGGGGAATGAATGATGACTTGAGGCTTGGACATTGGCGATTGCGGAGTAAATTGTTTGTTTCAAATGTATCCTCTGAAAGATGAGTTGAACATTGGCGTTTGCGGAGTAGACTGTTTGGTTTAAATGTATTCTCAGAAAAATGAGTTGGATTGTGGCTTCGGAGTTTCATCTAGCGTTTCCTGTACATCGGCGCTCATCGTTTATATAGTCCTATAATCAAGTACATAAGTACTGAATACAAGCATTCAATCAACCAAAGTGTCTATTGTTACATGGGCATATCTCATAAAACGATCTCACTTGTAGATCTCGTCGAAAGGTCGAGTATCCGAGTAACACGAATCCCAAACCTCATTTACTACCTTCACGGCTTGAACATCATCCTTACACCACGGTCGAGCCAGCACCGACTTCACTGCTCTCCTGCGTACGCAGTCCTGATGTTGTTGTGTTACCCTGTAGTTATTTCTCGTCCAGAATTCTCTCGCCCATCTACATTCTCCACTTAGACTTGCGGCTCTAACCTACAACATCAATCAATCAGCTTCTTATTGCCGAACATATACTAAACCAAACCAAACCAAACAGAGCACACAAACCTCCGAACAAGCAGCATGGCGCAGATCCCCCCAGTCCACTTTCCACCTCAAATGATCCCACGCGTGAACCATTTCATGCGCCAACGTATCCTCCACATGTTTACTATCGCGCATCTCATTCGCACACAATTGGATACCATGCTCGGGACTAAATCCGCCTCCTTGCCTTACTATTTTCCCATCCTCGGTCACTCGCGTCGGACATCTCCTGCAGCGTATATTATCGCCATCTAGTTTTCCGTTCAGTTCCCGTATGTTCTTTTGCATGAATATGACAATGGGTGAGTATTTGAGATTGTAGTCGCGCCAGGATTCGCACTGGTCGCAGTCGCGCTTCTCGTGCCGCGCGTATTGGTCTTCGCGGTAGAGTATCTGTTGCGATGGGGGCATGGTGCCCATGAGGATGGAAAACCAATTGCGGTATCGGGCTGTGGGATCGAATTTTGGTTCGCTCGATGGGGTGGAGTCGGAGAGGGGCGGAGGATTGTTTCCATCTGGGGAACTCATGGTGAAGGAAGGGAGAAGGGGCAATATCTACGCCCTGTGTTGTAATAATTAGGGCGCTGTTTGGGGATATCTTGGGTGATATATTATAACTTTTTGGCGGGGCGGTGGGGAAATTCTGCCATCTGGTGATTCATATTACATTATATATGATTTATACAACATTGCAAGTCCTCTAAACCGAATCTCAAAATATTAGCTGAAAATAAGCAAGATGAAAGCCTCAAAACCTCTAACGATCGTCATAAAACTAGGTATGAACACATCCATATATCTCTCCAACTTGATGCCTGGAAAGAGAAAGCTGAGTCACGGGATACCACAGGAACAAGTTCCATTGTGGATGAGAATACTCACGAACCATTACTGAGCATCCTAAGTTTGATTGTGGAAACTGCTGTGAAGCTACACAAGGAAGGACACAAAGTGATCATCGTGTCCTCGGGCGCCATTGGAGTTGGACTGCGACGAATGGATTTGGACAAGAGACCCAAACATCTTCCTCGAGTACAAGTATGTCTGATCTGAAGAAGGAATCGCAAGCGCAAGCTCGTCATAGAATATGGGACTGATTTGATGGTTGTGGTTTAGGCGTTGGCGGCAATAGGGCAGTGTCGTCTCATAAGTCTATGGGATAGCTTGTTTGCGCACTTACAGCAACCTGTTGCTCAGATTTTACTTACGAGAAATGATATTGCTGATGTAAGTAAGGTCTTGACTCTTGACTCTTGACTCTTGACTCAAGATGATGGGCATGTGATGTGACTGACATTTTGTTTTTATAGCGAACGCAATATCGAAATGCTCAAAATACATTACACGAGCTCCTAGAAATGGGGGTAATCCCTATCGTTAACGAGAACGATACCCTGGCTGTCGCCGAGATCAAATTCGGGGACAATGATACCCTATCTGCAATTACTGCTGCGATGCTTCATGCAGACTACCTATTTCTAATGACCGATGTCGATTGTCTTTATGACAAAAATCCTCGGACACATCCAGATGCAAAGGCAATTGAGGTAGTAGAAGACATCTCCGCATTACAAGTCGATGGTAATCAAGTCCCATCTTTAACCCCCTTATTCTCCATCTCCCTAAATACATACATACATGCTAATGTACCCTTTCAGTATCAAGCGCCGGATCCAGCCTAGGCACCGGAGGAATGTCCACCAAAATAGTAGCCGCACGCCTCGCCACCTCCGCCGGCGTAACCACCGTCATAACACGGTCCTCCAACCCCGGCAACATCACCAACATAGTACGCTACGTACAATCTCTCAAAAGCTCATCCTCGAGCGGGAACCAAGAAGCCATCGCTTCCCCATCACCAAAAACACCCACCAGAACCTCCTCCACACAATCTCTCACAGCACTCACCTCACCACCCCCCGAAGCCACAGCCCCCCTCCACACTCGCTTCCTTGCCTCCCACCCCCCCATCCGTGACCGCTACTTCTGGCTCTTACACGGCCTCTCTCCCCACGGCACCATCTACATAGATTCTGGCGCCTACCGGGCCCTAACCGCCAAAGCGGGTCTTTTACCCGTCGGCATCGTCGATGTTGAAGGCAGCTTTGCACAACAGGAAGCTGTGCGACTTGTCGTTGTCGATCGACCAACTGGGTCTGATACCAAGATTGTCGAGGGAGCGGGTGTTGAGGTTGGGAGAGCGCTGGTTAATTATAGTGCGATGGAAATTGCAAGGATTAAGGGGTTGAGGAGTGCGGAGATTTATGGGTTGTTGGGGTATGCCGATAGTGAGTATGTGGCGTTGAGGGAGAATATAAGTTTTTTTGAGAGGGGGGGTGGGAGTGGAGGTGGGAGTGGGGGGATAACACCGGTGCTTGGTTGATTTGGTTATGGGAGTATCTACTTGAGTGAATAGATGTGTGGATGATTAAAAGGAAATGAATTAATATATATATGCTCGAGTACATATAAACACATAAATACAACCCTTCCTCCCTCCCTCCCTCTCTCTCTCTCTCTCTAAACATATACCCCAACCCCAACATCAAAAATAGAACTTAAGACAAAGTATCTACATCTACATCCTCACACCCCCACACCCTCACATCCTAACATCCTCACCTACTCGCCTACTCATATACATCTACATCAATCCTCCCATACTCATCTTCGCATAGTCATACATCAATCCTTATATATATCATTCCTTACATAACCCCTTATTTATATAAAACTACATTAATTCTTATATACTTATATGCTTATATATATCAATCCTCATATCCTTATTTATTCAATCCCATACATCACCCCTCACATACTCCTCTACTCACATCCTCGCATATATCAATCCCTTTCATACTTAAATATATTCTCACATATATAACCTCTCATGTACCCACCTCCCACCTCTCATCCTCGCCTACTCATATATATTTATACTGTTCTATTTATATCCTTATATATATCATTTATTGTCTATTCACTATATTCTTATTTATTTATTTATATATTTATATATATCAATCCTTATATTGAAA